TTCTTTTATTTAACGTCGGTCTCTGTTCCGCAATCTAGTGCCAATCACCGACGGACATCGATTGCCATCCATTGACGGCAATCGAATGTGCACGATTGCCATCCATTGACAGCAATCACATGTGCAGGAAGGCAGCTTCCACACCTGTGTAGGATATCGCACCCATTCAACACACATGGGCCGGGACCAACGACTTTACTTCCCTTCCGAAGGAAGACGTGACCAGAGATTTTTATGCCTCAGAAAAATTCCACCGACCTCGGCTGGGATTGAACCCAGACCCATCGGGGTGTTAGAAAGCAGTCACGCTTACCACTACACCACCGGCACCGGCAAAATTCGTGCATTCCCGGTATCACAAATTGCTCACCGAGTTCTTTTGTTTTTGCCGTTCGATGACGACGGTTTTGCTTTCGCGAGAGTGATGTTTATTGGATCCGTTTCTTTGCACGGATGTGTTTTTTTTTTGTAAACCAGCGGTGTGTAAGTGTGCTTGTGATTTTCCTTGCCTCCCGAGAGGCCGGTTCACCGTGTTTGGATGCCACGCTTTCGGGGTGTAGTTCTATCGAAAGTCTCGTCACCGCGTACGAGTTTGAACACGGTCCGGTTGGTAAATTAGCCGGGGAAAGTACTGATAATGTATCCATCGCGAGTTTTGGTGGTGATTCGGAGTTTGACGTTGCCGTGAATCAGCGAGTTTACGGCTTGCAAAAGTGTTCGTCTGCTGGTCTCTCGCCAGTGTCGGAGATTGTGAGCAGGGCTGGCAAATGTTATTTTCAATGAAAGATCTCTCGCGATATTTACAGATATACTTTTGTCACTATCATCAGATGAGAAAACGATGATAGAGATTTTCTTCTAAATCTCATCGAATTTTTTGTCATGACAGAACGTGACAGTGTTTAGATCATCGTAATTACAAGCTCATTTATTGCTATTAAAGTTACTAGTACCGAGGAAATCTTAATAATGTATTCACTTTACCGATTACATGCGGTTGCTTGCATCTAAATCAGTAAGAAATGTTGGTGTCAAAACCGCATAAGAATTATTCTCATGAGTGTTTGATCATTGGAAAATGACAAGAAAGCTAATGCCAGGTAGTTTCGTCACGTGATAGTGAGGGGACCATTTTTCTCATTGTCAAATGACGGCCATGATATTTCTTCTTCTTCTTCTTCGCATTTCAAGCTTATTGCATATCGCATGATTAGCTTATTGCGTGCTCTTAACTTAGTGTTCTAGATGCACTTCCACAGTTATTAATTGAGAGCTTTCGATGCCTGTACCATTTTTGCATTGATATGATTGTGTGGCAAGTCCAATCATACTTCTATGCCCAGGGAAGTCGAGAAATTTTTCAACCCGAAAAATTCCTAGACCGAACCGGGAATCGAACCCAGCCACCTCCAGCATGGTCTTGCTTTGTAGCAAGACCATGCTGGAGGTGGCCGTGATATTTACCAGCTCTGATTGCGAGCAAGCTGAAGGATGCCTCGCTGGATACGCCCAAGACTGGACGGGCGGTAGCTTGTGGCCCTGAACAGTTCCTAGGGAAAGGACTAGACGCAAACCTCTTCCCAGATGACCATGGCAATGTAAGAAAATTTGTTGTCGTTGAAGGAAGTATTACAACAAAGGTTATTGCTATTAGATATTTGACAGATAGCAGACATGAAGCTCAAGTGGAGGTGCCGGGCATAGGTGTTGTATCCTAGACAAATGGTGGGTAACAAATTCGCTGTTGTCGCCGTCGTATTCACCGTTGTAGTCGCTATCGTAATCGCCGTCGTAGTCACCGTAGGCAGTACCGTTAGTATATTAAAAATTAACCATCAGCCGCTGAAACTACATGAATTATCGCGTATTTCTGTTGTTCATTACATACCAAGTGAAATTCGAAAACTTAATTTCATTTGAATAGCTTGTTTAACCAGGACTTAAACAATCGCCACGTCGGTCATAGCTTGTTATGATTGCCTGAACAATGCGTAGAGAACAAGTCGAAACATTTAACGTCGCGTGAAAGTGGAACTTAATGAAGGCCTAAGTACTCTTTCGTAGCTTTTAGTTTTCGGATTTGAAATATCGTCGGTTGCAGTGGCTTGCTTACTGAGCAGAAAAACGCGGTCCCAGGTCCTTTCATATTAAAAAGGTGTGGTAAGATCGCTTGTTTATCGTGTATTTTGTAAAACTTTTCGTTGTCGTCGGTGCCGGGTGAATAGTTATAACAACTTGAGTAACGGTGTAATGTGATATGAGAGGCTCGGTGGCCTTAGAGCAACCGTTTTTGCTTACTGAGCAGAACATCAGGAGTCTTATCTCAAGCCCATCCACATTCAAGATTCGTCAATCGCTTTATTTGTTAACATGACTACATGGTAATGACAGCAACTCGATGATTAAAAAGGAGCTCGTCTGCTTAGTGGTAAACGTTTTTGCTAACTGAGCAGAAGACCGTGGATTTAATCAAACGCTCCTTCGCGTTATATGATCGTTAGGACATCTATTCAGCTTATCGTTTACCAAAACGAACCCTGCTGCAAACCCAACTCTCTTATCCAACATCCCAGTGATTCCTCGTGGAAGTGCAGAGGACTCTTCGGCTTCCATCGTAGCGAGTATGACGTCAACACATTTCTACCCATTCCTTTCTTGACCTGCATTTGAATATTTGAATGCCATTTATTTATTTCTGAATGACATTTACGCATCTTTGAGTAAAAAATTACTCATTATTGTGACCTACGTTTTTGTGAATTTAAGTGAACTTGACTCCAATATGTGTCAGATTAATTTGCCGCGTGAATTCACGATCTTTCCATTTTGGAAAATTTTCCTCGTTCCAGAATAATGAGATTTCTTCTTCGATCGCTATCCAAGCTTAGCTATATAAAGCTATATAAATTGCTAAATTTTAAAATTTTGGGTGACTTAAAACAAAAATCAAACTAGAATTTTTCATAATCATAATGCCCAGCAAATCCCAATTTGTAATTTCCCGGGGTTTTGTTGATTTACACGGTTGTTTTGGGATCGAAGAATTCATCCTAAGATTCGTTTCGAAAAAAAACTTACTGAAACTTCCTTACATACTCCTTGCATTCTATTTAGAATAAGTCTGAATATTCCTTATAATTTTCATGCAATTCTCCTCAAAATTGTCATACCATTCTGTTCATAATTGTCTTGGAGCTCTCCACTAAATTATTATGAAAATTCGCTTGGAATTCTCCTCAGAATACCCTTAAATTCTTCTCGAGATGCTCTTGGAATTAAATTCGGAATTCTCATAAAACTCATGTCAGAATTCCTTTGGAATTGTTCCCTCAAAATTCGATCCCTTGGTATTTATCGTGAGATCCTTGGAACTCTCTTTACAATTCACTGAATTATCTTTAAATTTTCTAAGAATTTCCTTCGGATTGTTATCACAATTCACAAGAACTTATTTTGACTTTTCATTTGAAATGGACCTGGAATCCACTTCACAATCGTCATTAATTTTCCAAAAGAGCTACCTAAAGATTCTACTCTGAACTGTTGAAGTCCCACAAATGACTGGGAGTTCTAGTGAAATCTATCTTAGAGTTCTTAAAAACAGATCTATTGGTATTTTTCTCTAAAAAAAACATGGTTGTTATCTGCAGCATTCATCCTAAAATCTTTTTAAAATTCTCATAATATTTAGTTAATTAAAGTGACTGTATCTTGAAAACATTTTTCAGTCCAGGGGCCTTACAATTGTTTAAAGATCCAGAATCTTATTTTTCTCGGTTTGTCATCGAAATTTTCTCCGATTTTCCTGAATTCCTGGTTCACTGTAAAATAAATAAATATTAATTTTTCGAGACAAGTTTATCGGTAAACCATTATTTGTTTAATTTTAAAGGAGCATGAAAAATGCTCAGGATGGGTTGTGATTGTGAGTTTATAAAATTTCTCGAAGTGGGTTGCAGTCAACGAAATATTGTAACCATTTTTTCCCGATTAAAAAATTTCACTATTAGTCTCTTTTTATTTCTTTAAAGTCACTATTTGGTCACTATTTTCGTTATTTTAGTCACTAAAGTCACTACTTTTAAATTACATATCCACTACCAGCCCTGCGCTATTGATCAGAATCAGTAGCTCTTCGTGAGTTGCTGTGGGCCATCTATGTCAAGCGCGTCATACTTAAGAGTATAAACAGAGAGAACCCGGCTCAAATTCCTATTCCTACACAAAACACAAGCTCCTGCTGCAGTTAACAAATAAGATTTATTGTATAAGACCACGTAGTCCTAAGTCACCATTGCGTACAACCCCAGATACAAGATAACATCAGATCTCGACGTTTCATGCATTTTAAAGTAATTTGGCATACAATCAATCAAACGCCGAAATTTTATCTTGGGTGATTTTTCGGTTTTCAAATGTAGTGATTGAGCCCAACTTTAGCACAAGGATTTTTTTTATCGAGGCATTAAACATTTTGTATGTGGTCGGTTCTGAAAATTCGGTTGTCACTTTTTTTCCTCCATACATCCACGGGCACCCTAATTCACGTGTTTGTATGCATGAATGTACTTACGACCGAAACTTCGGAGCATGCGGGAATAGGTAATTCATAGTGCACCCGAGGGAGCTTTTAGTTTTCGATCGTTATGATCCGCATCGCAGTAGCCCGGGAGCGGATCGTTCTGAGCTTTAATGCAAAGCTCTCTCCCTCTATCATCTACAACGAGCTGCACAGACGGAGCTGCAAGTGTACCTACCTGCCTTCCGATACAAAGTGACTAGGCGAAGTACGACCTACGGATAGGTAAACGAAGCGCCGAAATAAAAAGAATAAAAAATAATATGATCGCTGCCCGTAATCGTCGGAGTCGGAGTTGCGCGCCGCTATAATAGAGGGAGCTGAACGATCGGACGGTGGCCGCGCGCGCGTACGCTCATGGATGGGATATTCGAGGCTTATTTGCTTATGCGCAAACAACTTTCAGTTTCGATCACGCTGCGGCCGGTTTCAGACGCGCTTTTCTCCGCCGCTTCCTCCTGCGAACGAAGATATTGTGTTTGGTGTGTTTTGGTTCATAATTTTCTGTTTTCTTTTTCTGTTTCGATATCGAATGCCTATCGAGAGCGAATTAAGTTGAGCTTATTTTATTTTCTGTTCATAGTTGGGTTGCATATCGATTTTTGCGTTGTCTTCTTTTCCCCTATTTTGGCCCGCTGGGGAGCGACGCCGAGTGGGCGCGGGGCGGGGAGGGTGCCTTTACATCATACGTGTTCATATTTCGGTTACTGTGATCTTCGCCTGCTCCGTTTGTCTGTGGTCCATATTTGTTGTGAAGTGAGGTAATAGTGCAAGTAAACAGAGGTGCCCGGCCGAGCAATTACAGCGTCGCAAGTTTGATGAAAGTAAAAGTTTCAACTTTTTCGGTTGGTCCCTTGTTGTTGTTGCTGTGGTTGAGGGAAGGGGTGGTCCGGACTTTCGATCTCCTTCACGACCAACGACACACAGCCGGTGCAGCGCGGCCGAGGGAAGCAGTGGTAGTTGGAGACAAGTGTGAAAAGTTGATAACGACTTCGGTGGCGAAAAATTAACGACAACCGACTGGGAAAGATGGCGAAAAAACAGTTGTTGGAAGAAAAGAAACAGTGAAGTGTTTATGTGAAGGGGGGTAACAGTGCGAGGAGTCCGCTAAGAATACAACTTGAGATGAAGAAGAAAATGTGCCTATTAGGATAGAGCAAACAAGCTGAACTGTTGGTGATGTGCGAGATTGGCCGGGGATGACGTGAATGGACTGTCACTTTTCTTTGGTTTTCACGGTGATACTTAATGTAACTGCTTGGTCAAATTGACACGGTGATGTTTATAATTCAGTCGAATTGTAAGAACGTTTACGAAAACTCTGTGTACACATTTTTAGAGTTACATTGAGAATATGACTCTGAAGTGTAAAACCAGACAAATATTAAAATTTTCATTACTTTAAGAATCCTGATCAATGTGGGCGTCTATAGAGGAATAGTATTAATACAAGACACTGAAGAAGTAGACATTAATGGAAATTACTAATCCTCCTCTCTTTCTTTATGCTTCTTTGCAAATAAACGTCTCCGGGCAATGAAAGATTCTATTACAGACGTGTATAAAGATGTACAGAATTTGTAATGTTTCACTGCATGAACAGGTTTTGAAATGTTTATATCGCGGAATATTTATAAAAAAATTAAATTGTGAATTTGATCTTAGTAATATTTTGGAACAAAGTTTGTTTCACTAAATGCACTTGGACTATAAAATCGTGATTATCGTAGTTATTCCAAAATATTCATTCTGGAGACACTTGCTTTTACGCTACAGCCCGTTGTAGGTACAGCCATTATATTTCTCATAAGAAGCAACTACACAGGATGCAAGAAATCAATTATTATATTTGATGTACATGCCAATTGCGAAGTAGCATTTTAATAAATTATTCGTTTTGTAGTTTTAATGCATATTTAATAATTTGGTAGTGGAATTGAATGAACCTTAATGAAGATGATGATGATGGTCCAACCCCTACAAAGGTTTGAGCTGGACGAGTCATCTTAAAGATAATTAAATATAAACATTTTAACCTGGTTTGCAATCAAAATCGAGCTGGTTACAATTACAGATATAAATGTCCTGTTAAATATGCTATAGACATCAACCAAAAACATTCAAAGTGTCAAGAGTCCAAGTATAGTCCTCGGCAATAATTCCATTTACACGTGACCTGGGATTTACACGTTTAAGCTTCCGCAGTGCCAGGACTATATCCAAGGAAACGACTTCCAGCCAACTCTTTACTAATTCAAGGCTTTTGCCACAATTTCCACGTATTAGTCATTTATACCTGTATTCCGCGTGCGAGGCTCAAACCATTGTAGGCTACTCAATGTTATTTTTACTATTACTACTACAAAATCAAAAAAAAATAAAAATCCATCATCACCATCGAGGCAAACAATATAGTTTTTTTTTGTATACGCTACACAAATTACTAAAATGTCTTTATGACAGTCTCCATACAAAATATTCCGTTAGAGATAACTTTGTCAAGATAGGGTAGAGCGCTACTTCGTCGTAATCGCCCAGTTTCGTTCTATCCATCAGAAAAGATCAATAATATCAATGACTTCACCGTGCACAAATCAAAAATAGGTTTGTTCCGATGCGTTAGTTCATTAGCTACAACATAAATCCTGTTAGAGCGCATTGTATTAATATTAACGCTCATTGTTCTCAAAACAAAAGAAGCGCTCCTAGCGAATCCCCCTTTTCTACGTTTATCCGTAGGACGAAGAAAATCTAATGGCGTTTCAATGCGTTTGGACGGAATTGAAACTCGTAGAACGAATTTAGAATCAAGAAGCAGTATTAGATTTTAACGAATATCTCAACAATTTGTGACTCTTTATCAAATTTGACGGTACGTATGGAAAGGTGAATAAATTTAGAAGTCATCTTTGACAGAAATATTCCATTTTTAGTTAAAACTCGTTCAGAAAAGAGAGGTACAGTGCGCGTTGTGCTTAGTATGACGGAAATTAGATCAAAACCCCTACATGATTTATCCATTCATAAAAATTTAACTGCTCAATGAGCAGTTTTTACATGTGTAATGTAGCGTCTCTTAAATTCTGTAAGTGTAGTTGCACGCTTGATGTGTCTAGGCATCGAATTGAAAACATTTATATAATGAATTTTGTGAAGCATTAATCAAAAGATGTGGTGTTCTTACTTCATCCGCGTTTCTAGTGTTATATCTATGAAAATCACTTCCTCTTTCAATCCGATCACACAAATATCGAGGCAGCAAACCGTTAACTACTTTAAAAATGAACACCGTAGTCAAAAACACAATTCTTTGATTCACTGACAGCCATTGCAAAGCGTCCAGCATAAAAGTTGAGGAAGTGAATCTATTACATCTTAAAATCGAAACGCATTACTTTATCCTGCAAACGCTGCAATCTCGATATTTGTGATTAATTGGCTAAAAATAAAATGGAAGAGCAAAAGTCTACACGAGGGGAAATGATTGATTTGTATAACTGTATTTTACTACCAATAGTTAAATCGTTTTTCAAGCGACATAGAATTCCATACTTCTTGACAATTTTCTTGATGACATTGTCAATATGAGAATTGAACTTAAGTTTGTCATCAATAATCACGCCAATATATTTAATTTCCTGAACGCGATCAATTGTCTTATCACCAATAACAACAGAGACATCATCATCTACACGATTCCGCGAAATTACCATGAATTTAGTTTTACTTATATTAAATTTCAATTGTTTATACTTCAACCATCTACTTAGAGAACGCAAATCTTCATTCAAGCGTGAAACGGCTTCTTCTAAATCTTTAGCTACAATGAACAACACATTATCGTCAGCAAAAAGATTCATATCACAAAACCGTAAAACTCGTCGCATGTCATTAATATACATAATAAATAAAAGGGGCCCTAATACACTTCCCTGAGGCACTCCAAGGTCATTGTCAACGGGACAAGATATAAAATCATCAAAACAGTCCTTTGTGTTCTGTCAGATAAATAGCTTTCAAACCATTTGTATGCAGAAACCGAAATTCCAAAGCACTTGATTGTTCTCAACAATAGGGGCCTAGAAATTGTCTCAAAAGCGCGTTTTAGTTCCCTCCCCTTGGCTAGTTTTTGCACTTTGCTGTTGGTGGGCGGGCTTAATTCCATGCTTTATAGTGGAGTGTTGGAGACGGTCGGTTTATGGTCGGCGTTGCTGATAAACCACTGCATGAGAGAACCAAAGATCTAGTCTAGCAGTGATTTTTTATTTATTTTTTTTTGTTCATTAAGGACATTTTACATCTCCGCGATGCATTCATGTCCGTTCGATTTGTTGTTTGGTGTATTGTGTATGGTGTGTAAGTGTTTTTGTTAGTGTAAGTGCTACAATTCAGTTGCTTCTCCCTTCTTTTCTTCTTTGCTTCCAAACAATTACTTTTCTCCTTCGCTTCACTTCATACTACTCTCCTACTTCGCTTTTCTTCACGAATTGCTTCATCTTTCTACCATCTTTACCTGTGTAATTTGTTATTCTATATATCTTTTAATTTGTTATTCTAGTCTTCTACTTCGTGTTGCTTAATCTTTCTTTCACTTGTGCAATTTGTTATTCTAAAGTTCTTGTATTTTGTTATTCTAGAGCTTTTTGTACAAATCCGTTTCATGTAGGAAATTAAGCATTCGTGTTGTTCTTTCTTCCGTGTTGTCCAGAGCTTCACGTAGACTGGTGCTGATGTCATTTTTCCTTCTCTCTTCGTCGTATTTCCTGCACTCAAGAATGATGTGCTTTACATCCAACACCGTGCCACAACATTCACACACCGGTGGGCCTTCTTTCTTTAGAAGAAACGTGTGGGTTAGTCGCGTATGGCCAATTCTCAGACGTGTAAGCGTACGCTGGTCGGCTGAACTTCCTCGTTCTGTCCATCTATGCGTGTCGAATTTCACCTCCCGCAGCTTCGATTCTGTTGTGCTAAACCACTGTCTATTCCACTGACCACGTATCGCATGTTTCACCGCTTTTATCGCATCCTCACTTGGAATCGGTACGTCGATGGCTGGTTGTCTTCTAGCCTCATTGGCTAGTCGGTCAGCTTCAGAGTTTCCCCTGATGCCGGCGTGTCCAGGGATCCAGCAGAAACGGATGATTTTGCTTTGCACGATTCTCTCTACTTTCTGCACCCAAGGGTGCCGGGAAGTTCCAGCCTCCAAAGTCAGTAGGCAGCTTGCGGAGTCCGTGAGAATAACCAACTCATTTTGAACATTAGGGATGGTGGCGGCCATTTTAATAGCGTAGGCCTCCGCAGAGAAAACACTACATTGCTTCGGAAGACTGTAGGTCCTAGATAGCCCTTCGTTGAAGAATGCAGCTCCTACCGTGTCTTCACACTTGGAGCCGTCCGTGTAGACGATGGTTGAACTACGGAAGCGGGTCTCCAGTAATTTTCGAACAACTGGACGAACTTTCTCCGGTGGGTCTCCAGC